AAAAAAAAAAAAAGAAAAGAAAGAAAGAAAAAGTGAAATAAATTAATAAATGTATTTAAATAAAAATTAACTAGAAAATATTCAGTTAATAATTTTTAAATGTCAATTTACTTATCACACACATATTTAAAAAAAAATAAACTGAAATGTCTAGTATCATACAAAAATGGTTATTTTTGAGGATTAATCACTTTCTTAAAGTCATCCAATATATATTTCCCTTTTTATTATTTTATTTTTTTGCAGGCGGCGTTAGCCTAATGGTCATGGTCACGGATTCGCAACCGGTTTTCGTCGAGTCATGGGTTCAAGCCTTGATACCACAAAAGACCCGCCGTGTAGTCGGGGCTGATGCACGTTAAATCTGTCATGGATCAGAATCCTGTGTGGAAGTTAGGAGAGGGAGGTGTCAGCTCAGGTGTCGCCCCCGTCACTTGATCGAGGCTAAAAATTATGAGGTCCATCGTCATATAGCCCATATGTTGCTTTAAGAGTGAGGTTAATAACACCAAACAATATTGGTAGTTATTTACAAATACATCTTGAGCTAATGACTGAAATGGAATGAAATTCTAAACACATACAAGCTAGTTAAGGTGTTTTTTACCTAATTCTAGAAAAAGATAGGACCAGTTCTCTTTTCTTAGAAGTTAATGAAGAACGTTAATTAAGTAAATTAGTTAATTAATACATTACCATCTTTAGTTCTCTTTGAGCTACCGACAACGATGTCGATGTTCTTTTTATTTAAAATTATGAAAGGTGTTCTTTCCCCAGTACTTAGAAGTTTTAATCGAATTTGAGATAATCCCTTATGATTTTGGGAAAAAAAAAAAAAAAAAAAACACGGAATACACATGCTGAAAAAAAAATCCTAAATGATCTAAAATAAAGTATCTAAAGGCGATTATTTTGTATGAAAGGGGATTAGGTTTTTAAATCTAATCCTCAAGCAGATATCATAACGAAGTATGCGCAATTTGATGAAGCTAAGAGCTCAAGAAAAATTGGTATATTGCGTTCTGGATCAAAAAACTTTCTCATCCATTTCATTAAGCTGCAAATTATCAGGAAAAGTTCTTGATAGTGAAAAATGGCAAGCTTACACGCGACATGGCAATGTCAATAAGAATGGAAAATTATGATCGTCATTTTATAAAGGAGATAATTTTAAGAGTATAAAATGCCTAATATAATTGCCAAGCAAGGAAAAAATGTTTTGCTGGATAAGTAATTTTTTTGAAAAAGAAAAAAGTGTACGGAATGTAACTGAGTTTTTAGATATAAGCAATTTCCACGAAGCGAAAACTCATAACTAAAAAAATTCAAGAATATTAATTCGGTATTATACGAGGGAAGATCGAAGTGGTCGTCCATCCACATCCATGAATGAAAAAAAAATTACTAGAGTACAAGACATGGTGTTAGCGGATAGGAGCATAACAGTGTCAGACGTGGATCCACACATAGTATTAGTCGTGTTCAGGTTCATCCAAACCAATGCTGCGGAGGAGCAGGCTGTGCGACAATTCCTTGCATCGCAGGGCACCAAGTTTTACCAGAGTGGTTTCTTCAAACTGATTGTACGTTACGACAAATGTCTCAACGTCAATTGCGAATCTGTCGAAAAATAGTACAAAGTGTATAGTTCATGATAGCATGGTTTATTTTTTTTATGCAATAAGTTTTGATTGAGAAAAAAACTGACGAAAGTTACTTTCGGAAAACTACTCGCACGAAGCTGAAAACCTTAGGAAATATTTAGAATATTTGTTTCTTTAAGTGGAAAAAAATCAAAACCATTTGAAACATAATGCAGGTGGAAAAACGCAAATAGATATAATGAAATTGGTAATTGATGCAACATGTCTTGAAACTAAATAATTGGTTTCAGATTCTATAAGAACAAAAGGAATATCCCAACCAAGGAAATTAAGCAGAATTATTATATATGCTTGCAAAGAAAATATATGATGATAAATAGATATCAATTTTCCAAAATACTATAAGCTTTAATGGTACTTCAAATCAAATTCAAAATTATTTGATTCAATGTGTTAAAGAAGTAATGGTAGATATAACAAAAAAGAAATTGACAAAGCACCTTTTGGCGTCAGTAATGCAAAACGTTAAAAAAAATACATCGCAAAAATATCATTACTTCTCACTGTTAAGATACTAGCTGATACCCAACCGCTTCGCAGGGAATTATATTTTGGAACCTATGTTATACGTAAAATAAAAAGAACATTTTCAATTTTTAAACGATAATGAGAATCTAAATTTAATATTTTAAGAAATTGACTGTCTTTAATAATGGTTATCCACACACACACACACACACACACACACACACACACACACACACACACACACACACACACGAATAAAACTTATTCCACCATATACATGTTACAACTAATATAGAAAAAGATACAACCTTTTGTTAGAAGATTCATCATGTGCTTAACTTTCAAATGAGATACCCTGACAATGACATCGTGTCTATCAAAAGACTTTTGTCCTAAATTTGCAATCCTAAAAAAAAGTCGTGCAAGTCGGGATGTCCAAAATGTCTTACGTATGTCATAGAGTCTTGAATTCGCTCATGCATGTAGCGAGGTTCTCCAGTAAACGAAGATT